GCTGCTGCTGCTGCTGCTGCTGCTGCTGCTGCGGGGGCCCCGAGCCGCCGGCCTTACGGATCACGGGGGAATAGGACACGTGTGGCCGGGGGGTGGAGGGGGTCTGGGGGAGCTGGCGGCGTCCCCGCCGCGGAGTGCTGGTACCAGATGTTGAGGGGGCTGGGCTTCCACTTACGGAACTACTGCCCTACACGAAAATTGAAACAAAGGAAATCAAAAAAAAAGATACAACAAAATCAACCAGAAGGAGACGGAGGAGACACAGAGGACGGGAGGGAGAGAGGGAGGGGGCAAAGGAAAACCAAAGGGGACAGGGGAGGGACCGGGAGGAGGAGAGGGGGACACAGGACATTTGAATGGAAAAAAAGGAAAAAAGCAACAGCCACAAGGAGGAGGAGGAGGAGGGGGAGGAGGAGGAGGAGGAGGGGGAGGAGAGGAGCAGGACAAGAAGCGGCAGGGGGAGGAGGGGTCGGGGGAGGAGGAGGAGGAGTGAGAGACAAGGAGGGAGGGGAAGTCAAAAACCAACACAACAAAGTGAAAAGAGAAATGAGAAATGGAGTTTTGTAAGTTTCGGGGTTAAATAGCAGAAGTTTCAAAAATTACTCACAGGCGTCCAGAGGACAGAAATCATAATCGAAACAAAAACGGAAGCCGGGTTAAAGGAAAGCAAAAGGCAGCAGGCAGCCAGCGGGGGGGCATGAGCCGTAAGGACCGCGCTGGCCAGAAACTCAAACGTGATCCACAACCAAGGAGGAAGCAGCTGCGGGGAAGGGGACGGCAGGCGGGCAGGGGAGCTGGGGGGAGCAGAGTGGGGAGCCAGAGTGGCTGGGGGCAGTGCCTAGTCCTGCCCGGCTCCCCCAGGGGCTCGGGGACCCCAATGGTGGGCAGGGGCAGAGGTCACAGTGGGGAGGGAGGACCCTGCCTAGCGTGGCTATTTGGTGTGCCCCCCCAGCCCCCACACCGGTCTCCCAGGGGCCTGGGTCAGGGGCACCCGGTGCCACACCCACCTGCCGGTGCGCCATGTGTTCTCGGCCCTCGCTGGGAGAGCGGGACCAGCGTTGGTCCCGGGCCCGGGCCCGGCCATGGTCAGGCCGCTCCTGGGCATAGCGCTCCTTGTCGGAGGGTGGGGGGTGGTGGTGGTGGTGATGGTGATGGTGTTGCCGATGCTTCCGGTCCTTGGGCCGGCCCCGCTCCTGGTCTCGCTCCTTAGATGGCAGGTCCCCGGACTGGGTGGTCATGCTCAGGTCTGTCCCCAAGCCTGGGCCGAGTGGTTGGGGTCAGACAAACAGATGGCCGTGAAGGAGGAGGCGGGTGGGATGTGCGCCCAGGAGGCCACCCAGGGGGCCTGTAGGCTCTAGGGAGGGGCCCCTTCCCCTGGACCGCAGAGGTCTAGCAGCAGCTGGCCCAGCTCGGGGCCCCTTGCTCCTGTCCGCTGAGAGTCCTGTTCCTCATCCAGGCCTCTCCTTCCTTTCTCCCTCAATGTTTGCGCGGCTCTGCTTTATCCACTCCCCCCTCAACTCTCCTCTGTCTCCTGGGTCCCACAGGGCAGCCCACCTGTGTCCACGTCTGTGTAGCGGCCCAGGGAGCGCTCAGAGGCTCGGTGGCCGCGGTCCCGGCGCCGCTGATGGTGCCGCTGGTTCTCCTCGGGCGGCACCCTCTCCAGGGAGTAGTCGTCCAGGCGCCGGGCCTTGGGGCCCAGCACGGAGGCTGAGCGCTTCATGGGGCTGGTGTCTGAGATGGTCTGGGGGGGTGGACAGGCCAGCGGGCCAGGGTCAGTGGCCTGCACCAAGTGGTCCCGGTCTGTCCTGCCCCATCAGCCCTCAGTGACCGGGTGTGACCATCTGGGGCAGAGTCCGCGTGGGCCATGGGGCTCGGCTTCTGATCCACCAGGGTCCCAGGACATCTCTGCCTCCTCCCAGGCTGGGCCCAGGGTCCGGCCAGAGGGCCCTATCCGATCCCCACCCCCAATCCCACTGCTTCTCAGGACCACCCCTGGGAGGTACCACCCAGCCCTGGGCGTCCAGCCATGGACAGGCAGGTGAGCTGAAGGGGACAGCTTTTCCCATCCAGAGTGCCACGTGGGGGCACAGGGCAGTAGGGCCCTGCGCTCACTCCTGCCTACTCTCCTCCTACAGCGGAGGTCAGGCCTCCTATGTGCTTGGGGCACCCAGTATCCCAGCTCACTGTCCTTCTTCGGCCTAGCTGGGACCGGGCTTTCCTGGTCACCCAAGTCTGGCTCCTATACCAGCCCTTGACGGGTTGCCCTGGCATCTGAGACCATGGGGGGACCCGCCCCTCTTGGCCTGCAGCCTGGGAGCCTGCACAAGCTGTGCCCACTGGGGTCAGACCCTGGAGAGGGGCCTGGGGTTCTCTGCTGCCAGAAGAGGATAGGAGGAAGACCACACCCAGTGCTGGACTGGCCGAATGGCCAGTGGCCCTGCAGTTTGAAGGGACATAGGGCTTCGGCACCAGAGGGTCAGGGGTGGGTGAGGGGAACGAGCCTCTGAAAAGGAGTGGGTCAGGGGGTGCAGCAGATCAGGCTTCTTAGAAGGATGGCACCTCCTGGCTGGGGAGAAGATGGGGGAGTGGGGGGGCAGTCCCATTCCCCCCGGCAGGGCACACGGAGGACACAACATACAAGGATGGGGCTTCATGGGGGAGGGGGGTGCAGTCTGCAAAGAAAGGGTGGGGTCCAAGGGGTGGAGAGATGACAGGACTCCCACGAGGGGGGGTGGGCGGGAAGAGGGGGCCGGAGCCCAGCTGGGAGGCGGGCGGCGCGGTACATACACTGAGGTTATTCCCACGTGGCCGGCCCCTTCTCCTCTGTCACAGCCCCATGGGATGGTGCACACAGAAAAACAGAAAGAAGAAAATAAATACAAAAGCCAAGAGGGAGAGTGAGAGGTGGTACATGGAGATGCCAGGGCTGGGGAGAGGAACCTGGGCAGTGGAGGGGGAGAGCAAGGGAGGCAGGGAAAGAGGCTAAAGTCCCTGGTGCGTAGGTGACCCCAGGCCCGGCTGGCCAGCCTCCCAAGGGCACAGAGGAGACAGACAGGAGACACCACAGACAGACAGATGGCAGAGGCAAGAGACCGACAGATGGGATGGCGTGGCCACAGGCCCCTGGCCCTGGGCTCTGCCTCATGCAATGCGCCCCAGCCCTGGCTCCGGCTGACACTCAAAGCTTGGGGAGGGGGTGGCCATCAGCCAGCTTGTCTGGACTCTCTCTTGGGGCCCAACAACTCCGTCCTGGGGGTGGACGGGGGGGCGGCGCTGACAGCCACATGCAGCCAGGTGCCCCCCAACCCAAGTTCTCCGCAGCCAGAGGCCAGGTCCCTGAGCCACCGCGGCCCAGCCAGCCACAGCACAGCCTTCACCCCCCGTGCAGACACCCCGGCACAGCACACGGGAAGCCCGCCCCAGCCAGACATGCCACCCTGCCTCTCAGGCTGGGCGGGCAGCCAGCCATGCTTCTGGCTTCTGGTCCCTCTGTCCCCGCGAGCCTGGGGCAGTGGGATCCCGTGCCCTCCTCCCCCCCACTAACCAAGTGGGCGCTGCAGCTCAGCCACACACAGGCACACGCCTCTGTCCCTCCCCAGTGGCCCCCACAAAGACCAGACGGGAAATACAAACCCCAGCTGCCCCCAGGCCCATCCCAGACTCTGCTACCAGGTCCTAGGACCTGCCAAATTCCCGAGAGCAGAACTGTGTGCATGCGTGTGCGTTCGCGTATGCAGTACGAGCACATACGTCCGTGTAGTGCGTGTGTGTGTGCCTGTGCGTGCATGCCTGTGTGTGTGTTCTTGATTGCAGCTCACCGGGCCCTGACACATCACCTCCCCCCCACACCCCCACGTGTCCTCCACATCCTCTTGCCTTGGCATCTCCAAACCAGGTAGATGGAAAGCACTTGGCAGGGACGACTGTATCCTGCCCCAGGGGAGCCCCTGCCCCTCTCTGCCCGCCATCAGGGAGAAGGTAAGAGGGCCAGGCCTTCCGGGCACTCCAGTGTGGGCCTGCCCCCTGCTGCTGAGGCTGCAGGTGGCCCCACCCCAGCAGGGGTCACAGAGGAAAGAGATGCCCTGGGCTGCGTGTTGGAGCCCGGGGGCCTGAGTTCAGCCCCAGGGGGGTGGCTGAAAGCCCTCACCTGGTTCTCCGCGGGGAGGCGGGGCATGGAGGCAGCCCGGGCCTGGCCTTCCGTGGGGAGGTAGTGCTCACTGTCCGAGTAGCCATCTCGGCCCATCTCTCGCAACTCCACAGACTGCGGGGGCAGAGGGCAGGGCCAGGTGAGTCCTGTGGCCTGTCGGGCCCCAGGGGTGGCCTGGTGTGGGTGCGGCTGCGGCTGTGGGGCCACATCCTTCCCTCCTGTACTGCTTGTGCCTGGG